CGTTGCCCGTGCGGCTCGTTGCAAAGCGATCTCCCATTGGCCGAGCGGGATTCCCTAATCCCTAGGTGTGCGCATGCCTTTCGCCCAGACATCGGTCACAGGGGCTGAGCTCACCTGGGCTCTGATTGGCTGCTGGCGGTTTTCAAATGAGTCCAATGGCAAGATGGAAAGAGAAAGAGAGACCCGGATGTAGCTGCAGTTGCCTGACCTAGCGCCTGAAGGGCCGCAAGGGGGACTCCGCAGCCTGCGCAGCGGCACAAAGCTGCTCTCGAGGCCGGCGTCTTAGGAGCCCCTCCCTGCTACCCGGACCTCTGCCCGGCGCCGCTACCCCCCAAAACACACCGGCACCGCCCATCGCCCCCGCCCCTGCAGCTACCAGCCACTGTGCCCAGCTCTACCATGGGCCCATCGCCGCTGCCCCCTACGCAGCCGTGGCGCTGCGGCCCCTGCCGAGCCCCCCAGGTCATGGCAACCCCGTTAAGACATGAAGTTACATCGGGGTCAGAGGTGAAAGTGAGCGGGTACGGCGTACCAGCGAGAGCCGGTACACAGCCAACCCTACCGGCAGGGGGCAGCTCCCCACCCACCGAATTTAAAGCAGCAGCCGGCGCCCAGGGCCCTTTAAATCGCCCCCAGAGCCCTGCTGCCGGAGCCCTGGGGTAGCAGCGGCAGCCCGGGGCTCTGACGGTGATTTAAAGGGCCCGGGGCTCCGGCTACCGCAGCAGAGCCCTGGGCCATTTAAATCACCACCGGAGCCCCTGGGGTAGCGGCGGTGGCCGGGGGCTCCAGCGGTGATTAAAGTGTCCGGGGTTCCGCTGCGGTAGAGGTGGCCAGATCCCGGGGGCCTTTAAATTGCCCCCAGAGCCCTGCTGCCGGAGCCCTGGGGTAACAGCAGCGGCCCAGGGCTCTGGCGGTGATTTAAAGGCCATGGGGCTCCCGGCCGCCGCTACGTGGAGTTTTTACCCACAAAAGCTTATGCCCAAATAAATCTGTTAGTCTTTAAGGTGCCACTGGACTCCTCGCTCTTTATCCGCAAAAACAACAACACAGTTGCCCCTGTGATACTTTTTACCTGACTGTGTTTTGTAGCCATTAAGATTTATGGTAAAATATGTATTTTCCCAGATGTATCTAGCTCAGCCCAGCTAGAAGGAAAACAATTTCTGTTCATTAGGATTTGTAGTCTCAGTGAGCTCTCAGTTAAGCTTCCTGATCTGGCAAACCGGAGCCACCTTTCCTCATTTCTCCTGAGGTGGTACTTCTAAAATGCTCCCTAGAAATGTCACCTTAATAGTAATAACAAGAAAAGCAATGTGTCATTGACGGTGCAGTTGTGCACATTCTTAAATGGAGTCACACAATCTTACTGCTAGCTCGCCCTTCTCACCCCATTTCCTCCCTACTTTTTTGTTAGCACCTTAGACACATATTAAATTCTGTCTCTTTAAGACAAAGATCATGTTTGTCTAATTGTTCAGCAAACTACCTACGCCACCTTTGGGCATGATAAAAAGAATTATAAATAATTACTTTGGGCACCAAAAATACTGACACATTAATAAATTTAATAAGCTTTGCCTTAAGGATGTTAAAAGGTATTTTATGATTTTGATGAAGACGAACTTCTGAATAATCAAATTAAATAAAAAAGAAGGAAAGATGAGTTAATTAATGTGAATAGCTCAGGTGAGAGTCAGCTGACTCAAGTGTATCAAAACTGATATAAAACTAACCAAATCTAATGCTTTTAATTTCCTCTAATTTTAAGTTGTCTCTAATATTAAAGCTTTGTGATCTGGAAAGGAATATTTTTGTATGTACTCATCATCTTATGAAAGGCCCAATTTAGTAAGTTCTGACTGTCAAATTAAAAAGAATTTGACTGATGCCCTTCTAACCTAATTATTATATGTCAAAATTAAACATTTTGATAGTATTCATCCTTTTTATATGAGGGATTCTTACTAGTCTAGGTATCTTGAGGACTAAGAACTTGATCCAAAGCCCACTGAAGTCAGTGTGAGTCTTTCCTTTGACTTCAATGGGCTTTAGGTCAGATCCTAAGGGCCAAAGGAAAGGGGAAACTGCTTGTGATAGTAGGGATTGCTCATGCAAGTAAGGGCAATGGCATATGTCCCATGTAAGTAGGGATTACTTAGATAGATGGTCTCAGTTTGGGCACTCAAAATAATCAGCAGCGGCGGCTCCAGGCACCAGCGCTCCAAGCGCGTGCCTGGGACAGCAAGCCATGGGGGGTGCCCTGCCGGTCCCTGCGAGGGTGGCAGTCAGGCAGCCTTCGGCGGCATGCCTGCGGGAGGTCCGCCGGTCCCGCGGATTTGGCAGCAATTCAGCGACGGGTACACTGAAGCCGCGGGACCAGCGGACCTCCCATAGGCATGCCGCCAAGAATCCGCGGGACCGGCGGACCTCCCGCAGGCATGCCGCCGAAGGCTGCCTGACTGCCACCCTCGCAGGGACCGGCAGGACACCCCCCATGGCTTGCTGTCCCCGGCCCGCGCCTGGAGCGCCGGGGGCCGGAGCCGCCG